TCGATAAAAATCGTAGCTGGCTAGATAGAGAGAGTGATATTTTGATATGAATTATCGGTGAATTGCTACTGAAAATAATAGCTGCAAAAATGTTTAAAGTTCTGAAAATGATTTAGATTTAAATAACCGCTTCTTCAAGAATGTACGCATTATCTACATATAAAAATCTGACTTTAGAAAAGTTTGTTGTCCCAGGGTAAAACTAGTCAGTACAAACTGGTATGTAGCATAAAGATGGGCCTTCTTTTAAATTGAATATTGCAGCAAACTCACATTGCCTGCACTGTAGTACAGTAAAAGACAAACATGGCTTGTTATTTTAAAGTAGCACCATAAAAGAACAGATATGAAAAACTGAATATGAACACAAACTCCAGGCAGCATAAAAACTTCCAAAAGAAGCTAAAAGGGAAGAAAGATCTAGGAGGAGCAGAAGATGGAGAGACTGAATTAGCAAACTTTGTGTTTTTGTGGGCTTGGCAATGGAAGGATCCCAAAGGAGAGCTAATGACTGTAGTGGTATCTGGCATGAGGACCAAGTTTCCTTGACCATATTTAAGTTGCTTTTAGTCCATAGCCACAAAGTCATAAGCAACATCTGCTGAGGTATCTTGCAATTATAGCATTATCAAAGTCTTTCCTCCCATTTAGTTCCACTGTGCAGGATACCGCTCAGAGGATTTGACCAAAGTTTTGCCCGACTTAAAGAAACCATCCTGACAAATAAAAAAACATTTTCACTAAATGGGTAGGTGGTGAGGGGGAGCTATATTTTTGGAAACGTGCATCATTTAACAAATCAAGGTTGAACTCTGTAACCAGATTCTTTTGTGGAGCCGATTGAAATAATCATAAATATTCAGTCTTTCTGCAGAGAGCAATGATAGTTTTTATCAGGTTACAACTCAGCCAATCAGGTTATTATTGGTATGAATGCAGAGAAGCAGACAAAGAGAGTTTCTCTCCTGCATTAGCACTTAGTTCTCCACAATTAATTGCTATGCTCAGTTGAAACTAGCGTTCTTCATATCGGTATGATGTGGTCATAAAACTGTCAGATGCCTTTGTTCAAAAACTTAATAATACAGAAATGCTGACATCCTATTTATACTCACTGAACAGTTCCCTGCTGTGAGAGGTCTGCACTCTCCATCAATCGACGCAAGTCAATTTAGGGGAAATTAACTTTGATTATTGATTGTTAGGGCTGGGGGGAAAAAAATCGCTTTAATCGATTTTGAATCGATTCCTTTACATTTTTGCAAAATCGATGTCTAGGAAATTAGATCGATTCATTTTATAGTGACACTCATGACGTCCACATTCAAATGAGCAGGAAAGATGCTCTCAAGATGACTTCAAGCCAGACAGCTGCATATATAGCAAATAGGTTGACTGAAGACATTAACAAATGGGGGCTGACCAGAAAACACCTTGTAGTTGTTACAGACAACGCTGCACATATGGTTTGTACAGTGGAGATAATGCAGCTCATGCATGTCTGCTGTGTCCCCGCTGTGTCACTTCTGTTTGCTCAAGTGAGGCTTCACTTTTTAACTTTTCATAAACAAGTTTGCACTTTTGAGACAGTTTTGTTCACATCTCAAGTTTAAACTGTCCGATTTACAAGTTTGCACTTATAATGTGACGGGAAAAAAATAAAATACATGAGTACACAGTTGAACCACTTTCATTAACATAGAAACAGATTGAATCGAAATTAATCGATTTAAAACTGTATGAATCAAAATCGAATCGATTCACGACTTTGGTGAAAATACCCAGCCCTATTGATTGTTCTTCACTAAAAATATAAATATAAATGAAAATATGAAGAAAATGGGGCCCGTAACCTTTTATACAGTGCAAAAAAAAAAAAAAAAAGGACATAAGTGAGCCATCATCTGTAAGGCTGTAAATTATATTATCAACTTTTTTTAACTTTTATATGTACTGGTACTTTTGACCAATACCTAGAAAGTTCAACATTTTTATTGGGCTGTTTTTTTAGAAACTAATCATGAATCAGGCTTAGATCAGAGGCAAACGGACTTTAGTACCTTTTCTGAAAAACATCTATGCAGGATTATTTGTCAAATTTGGTGGCTTCCAGTAGATCAACCTGTTCTTGGAGCTACTTATTTTCAACCACCTGGAGTAGGGCTGAAACAATTAATCGGATTAATTGTGAATAATCGATTATTGAAATAACAATAGCTAATCATTTAGCTAATGATTAGCTAAATAATCATTAGTTGCAGCCATAACCTGGAGGCCCATCCTCAGAAAGCTTGGTTGCCTCCAAATCAAGCCTGTTTTTGTGGTTGCCTTAGGCCGGATGACTGACAATTTGCACAGGCATGTTAAGAAACTAATGTCTATTTTTATATAAAGACTTTTAATGCTGACACAATTACATTTTGAGTTTATATAGAAAGTGGAAAACTGTATTTTGCTATTTGCTGCTCTCATAGGGAAATAAAATTGGTTCTGGAGGGAGAAAACATTACAGTATTGGTGTTAAGACATTGTCTAAAAAAATCCCTAAGAGATTCATCACTAAACTTGGATTATCATTACAGTTTCTGTATAAATATATTCAGTTATAACAGGAACATACAGAAAGGGTTTAAGGATGATGGAGAAAAAAATGAAAACATGCAAAAGTTCCCTCAACTTAAAACTATAACTAGAGTTAAAAGAAAAGAAATGGCTGCTCCGTGGGGGAACAACAGTAGGGCATGATGGCCGCTCCTCAGAACTAAAACTCTGTGACCTATCGTCTGCCTGAAGTGCCCCGAACAGCAGAGGTGTGACCAGATTTTATTGTCTTGGCATGTGAAAAAGACAAGGAGCTGCTTTGGCTTGATAGATGGGGGCCAACTGGGAAAAGTGACACTGTGAATAAAAGGAGCTGTGTCCCACCATAAAACACTGGAGCCTCCCAGATTTCACATGCACACATTCCCCTTTGAATTAATGTAGAGATGTGTTTGTGTGGAGAGATAACAGGGAAGCAGTGGTACAAGTATATACAAGACAACTTTCAAACAGCCTAATGAAAAGCTACGCATCTAGGCCTTTATTAATCTTTTTTCCTTTTTTAGTACCGTAGTTTTCTAAGATGCAGTGGAGTTGGTGTGGTGGAAACCGTGAATCGACTCAGACTCTTTCCCCTGTAATTTTAATCCTGACTAAGTTAAACAAAAGTAACAAAGACGACAGAGCGATGAGGCATGCATCTACACCAGAACTGCTGAATCAGGTTTTGGAAACCACCATCAAGGTGAAGGAGCAGGTCGGGGCTAGTAGATGCAGAAGAAACACAAACCGTCACCCAAGCCGTGCCAAGACAGATCATGGAAGAGGCTAATTACATGTGCAAGAGACTAGTCTCCAATATCTAGGGCTAATGGTGATGGATTGTTTGTGACAAAGGAAGACTAGCTTATGAATTTCCAAAAGAAACCATCTGTTATGACATAATAAGAGTGTACCTCTACACAAATTTACAGCTAAAAGGGAGAACGTATTCGTATTTAACTCTTCCTAAAGCAAGAAGCTTAATGATGGCTGCAGGAGTGTGGAGCTGATGTCATGTTACATGTGAGCATGTCATGTTTAATCACACTATTTTTCCCCAGACTCTTTCTAACTTCTATAAAACCTAAGGTCTTTTATTTTAAGATTTATTTGAGATCAAAGTGCAGTAGTTAAAGGCCAAGTTACAGCAGGGGTAAAAATATGACCTACTGATACAGCCTTTAGTTTAGTCTCATCCCTAAGAACTGCATCAGAAATCATAATCCCTTCAAAAATAATTCATATTTGAATCAGAGACGTTTAGCTATTATTTTAAAATTTTATTATTAGAGGAAGTGATCATTAAAAACTCAATTACACACAGGTCAGCCTCCGTTTATTTTCATAGATCTTTAGCCCTGATAGGCTGCACACATCTCCGAAGGGCTGGTTAATCTCCCGCAGTGTGTCGCAGTGAGCTTATTGCAGATATTTTTGATTTATGCCAAATATTGAGGCGTGGTTTGCGCTATAATATGCCACGCCACAACGCAAGTGGGACAATCACGACCTAGCTGTGGGTCTAGATACAGCCGAGGCGGTGAGGAAGCGGAGACAAGTTTGTGCGACAATGGAGGGACACGATGGTGAAAAAGATCGGGGATTCAGGTGGGAAAAGGGTCTCGGCGTTTCTGCGTACCTCGCTCTTCTAGCTAGTCCTACAAACAAAACAAGGGCGGTAAGGTACCAAACAGGAGATACGCATAGTGTAGAGCGGATGTAGATTTGACCAATCAGAGGCCTCCTGTCTGCGGCACTGTCTGCGGTCACCTTCAATTTTGGAGCGGTGCAGCAGAGTGTCTGCTGAAGGGGCGGGGCATATTTGCTTTCACTGCGACACACACACAGATGACATTTGTTTCTGAGTATAAACCAGCCTTAAGTCCTGCATATTCCAACAGCAAAAGAGTAAAACTGAGCTAAGATTTTCTGGACCCTTCCATAGCTAACCTTAAACTAGTTACAGACTAGTTACAGAACTGTATGGTGTGTTTTCAAGACTAAAGTTTACTTGACAATTGAAATTTTATGTCATTACATTTTAGGAAGCGATCATGTTGAATTATCCTTCACTTAACTGAAAATTTTATTTACCAGTAAAATTGAAAAAAAAAAAATGAAAACATGAGAATTCAAAGACCTTAATCTGCACTATAAGCCAAATATCATTATAGAACAGTGACCAATGGGTGAAATGCTATAACAGATATATTTAGAGTGTAGGTTGTTTTTGTTTTGTTTTTTGGAAGATTAAGATAAATCCTGAAGTTAAACATTATTTCATGTTATTATAATTAATCTGCTATTCAGTTTGGTTTGTTTGGTTACTGTCATGCTTTAGTTTTATTTGATCTTTTTCTTGGATATCCATTTATAAACTTCAAAAATAATGACATCAAATACAGACATGAACATACCTGAATCCTTCTTGCTCCCTTTGCCTCCATCTCTATTCTTCTTCAGCACTGCCTTGAACATGACAGGGTTCCTGGAATCCTCTCTTTAAGGCCCCTGAGGGAAAAGTGCAAACAGTCAAATGCTTTCATATAGAGTCACACCTGCAAAACATCTATTGCTCCTACAGGAACACTGAGAAAAGTCTCCTGCAAGACAACAAGTTTCTTTATTTAAAGTGATATTGTTCATGTACCTGTATATAAGAAGCTCCAACTATGCAAGATGTTTATCCAAAGCAACATCAACAAATTAAACCCTTACCATAAAAACTCTGACAAATCTCTGGTTAAATGTTATATAAATTGAGTTTTCCCACTGCACTCCTAAACCTGCAAGTCATCAGCGGAGGGAAGCATGGAAAGAATGCTTCAATATTTGAACAGAAAAGGACAAGTTCTGTTATCTTGTTCTACAGGAAAACACTTAGTTGAAGGCCCCAAATTCCACATACAATTGATGTTATGTGCCAGAGCTACAAGGATTTTATTTAATATCTATGGCTGTTAGAGATTCCTGTGCTTTTAGAGTCGTTAGATTTAAGAAATATACTCAAAGTCTAGTCAGGCTAAGTTTGTTTACATTGGAACTATTCTTAGTCCTATGTTGTTGCACTGTGGTAAAAGCATTCCTAATGCAGCAGCAGCTTAAACAGTTAATTGCAGGGGATTTCTTTCTAGTTTCTTTAAAAAGCTCCTTTAAAATTGCATTACCTTATGCAGTTTACTGCAAATAATAATAATAGCAGAGACATTTTTTTTCCCCACTGAACAGACGTTTTTTTAACCAAATAAGGACAAACCAAAGAAAGCACACAGTTCTGAACCAGAGGGCAGTCTCTACATATCTCAGCGTTCGCCTTGCTGCTCAGGGACAGGCTATCGATCTGCCCTTTTTCATCCATGATGGTGTTAGATGAAACTCTGAAGCAATGATGGGTTAGTTGAGGGTTGTTGGGGAGCATGGCAGGACTTTAAATCATTTCAACTCATCCATCAATGCTGAGAAAATATTCTCTACAGTAATTTGATGATTTCAAACCTGATTTGTTTGGCAAGGTCAGTTTGAGGGTGGCTGAATAGCTAAATCTAGCTCTTAGTTACTGGCATCCAAAATAAAACTTTTAATAATTTCAGAAATATACCATTCAAGGAATTGATAAATGCAACCTGATCTGCTCTATTGAGTGATCAGAGGTCAAATGTCTAATCATCAGATGCATAAAAAAACAAGAGCATCATTTAGTCAATGAGCACTACAAGCAAAGCCATAAACCTTAATCATATTCTAATATTTATCCAAAGAGGGCGGGGGGGAATCAATAAAAAAATAGATTTTGGGATGTGGAACACCTTCTGTGGGAGGCATCCAGGTGCAACCAAAAAAAGATGAAGAATCCTCTTTATGTGGATGAGAAGCAGCTCTACTCCGAGGCCCTCTCAGATTGCCGAACTCTTCACCCTATCTCCAAGGCAGTGCCCAGCCACCCTACAGAGAAAGCTCATTTCAGCCGCTTGTAACTGGGATCTTCTCGGTCACCATCCAGATTTCATGAGCATAGGTGATGGTGGGAATGTAGACCAACCAGTAAATTAAGATCTTTGCATGTTGACTAAGCTCTCTCTATTCATTACAATAGACCATAGCAGTGTCTGCATAATAAAAGCACCCACACCAATCAGTTCACCAATCTTCCACTAAATTCTCCTCCCACTCATGAACAGGACTAACCTGGCAGTAGCCAAATATATACAGTATGTGTAGAACTGAGTTGAATTCTACATTATCAATCTGGGATGGCAGCCGTTCAGTCTGTCCATGACAAGTAGGGACGTTTATTAAAATACTTCAAGCTGGTGGGGTGACATCCCAGCTAGTACCCTTTTTTTGTGCAATATGTGTTAAACAAGAAAAGACTAAGAGGAAAAGCTTCAGATGTTAAAAAAAATGACTAGAAATGTGTAGAGAAATCTACAACATGATATATGTCTGCAGTGCGTTTAAACTTTTACCTATAGAGTATAGCAACAGGACACACAGAAAGTTGGTTGTTTACAAGTAGTATTTCTAACCATGCAGATCATGCTATTCAAAGATATGAAATGCTAAAACACATAAAAAAGAAAACGGTAATAAAGTTGTTTAAAATAATTAAACCCTATATTGCGACAACTGCTTTCCGTCATACACACCTTGTAAGAATAACCTTAATTTCTTAAAGAGTAAATATACCAGAAATCAACTTTGGTCGGCATCTTTACGTTACAGTGCAAATGTTGACATTTACATGTAAAATTCTTAATTTCTGCTATAATTTTCCAAAAAAGGTATTTTAGTCCTGCCCCATATGGTTTACAACATGACTACTGCGATTTAATTTTCCTATTAGCATGTTAAAGCTTTAGCAACGGACAAATAAAAACGATTTGTGCATCTATAAAAACTAGCTCTAATTCAGGATAGTTTCGAACAAATCTAACAGCGGTTCATTTTCATATTCTAACAGACTTCAGTGTTTATAGGCATGATCTGTTACAGTGCATTGGTTACTTGTTGAAATAGCTGAGCGGTGTGTGGGAGCATCCTGCTCATCTCCACAGTAACAACAAACAACACCCAGGATAAACCAAAGGAAATGAGATACGCCCTATTAAAACCTTAAACACCAACATGACTAATTCTTTCCATAACCTTTTCCCTTTCAAAGCCACCAGACACAGACTCGCACACACATATAGTAGGCAACGCTAAGATTTACACAGCAATCAAATAAGCTATCGTCTACAGTGCCATCACATTTTAACAGATGACTGTCAGGGATGATTTAGACCCATTTAACAACGACATAAAGATTATAACATTAAACAAAACTAATTAATATGGGACACAGCTGTGACCTACCGTATATGAGAAAGTCTCCTCAGAGAGGAGCTGCGGGCTGTATGGTATGCAGAATGAAGGGTTTAAGATTCCTCAAGCTCAGGTCCATCCAATTACATTTAAAATGGGTTCAGAAACATGCAAAAGCCCCTTAGAAGGGGTCTTTCAATATTACAACAGTGAAAGTTTCAGAGAGACAGAGGTTCACATGTTTTTTCCAGACACATGCTGGTGGAACACAGCCATAACAGACACTAAACCTTCACCTCTGCTAACAGAAACAGCAGAAACCAGTGGCCGCCTCTTTGGTTATTTAAAAAGAAGAAACACTGCAGCTGTTTCAACGTCTTTAGGGAGCTGGTGGCATTTTCATTCAAACATATTTCAGCAGGGGAGGCCGTTACTGTGAAAACGCCTAAGGTAATAATAAAGTGCAACGTTAAGACAGGTTTCTTTAAGGAAAGATAAATTGAAGTCTCCACTGGTTTAAAAAGTGCCCCGGGTCATCAGCGTGCATCTTTTCTGGGTCATTTCTCATGTGATACAGTTCAAATCCAAACAGACTGGGAAGAAAAGATCCTCACCTGCACATTGTTGACATGACATGGGGTTAATGGGGCCATACGGCTGCTCTAGTTATCTAAAAAAAACACCTATATATATATATATAGAGAGAGAGAAAATAGGATTGTTTGTCCAGAATGCCACTGGTAAGGAAGCATTTTTACCTCTAGCGGATACTGGTGAGTAAGCGTGAACTTTGTCCTCTATTAGGCGGCACACAACAATGAAAAGACTCAAATCAAAACCACTCCCCTCCAAGTATTGAAGCAAACAGCTTTATCCCTTTTAAGTGCTCTGTTTCCTGTTGAAATGCTCTGCCAGCTATCTTCTTTAACTAGTTACACATGAATAATCATCACGCTAAGATTTCAACCCAGTAGGCATAGCAACGTGGAAACTCTCAAAGTGACACGACCTTCAAAACGCTTAGATAAAGGCTGCAGAGAAGTGGAGCATTTAAATTCTCATGTGAACTACAAAATTATCTGTTCTCTTGTTGTCAATTCAATGACGGGCAGGAAACAGCCAGCCTGGTCTGAGAGTTCAAGTGCTTCAAAACAATGGTGGAAAAAAAAATACATTTCAAACAGGAAGCTTGGGAACTAGTTATAAAGTAGAACACAGTCTGAATGTCAGCCGCTGTAAACAAGAGGTTATTATTCAGGAAGAAATTCAAAAGGTTTGATATTAATGCCAAAGAACTCTGCTAGTTTGAATCCAGCTTCTCCTGCATTCATGTCTAAAAACAGAGACATCAGTATTGCACAAAAGGAAAAGACACTTTGTACCTTTTTAAAGAGTTATTTTACTAAAGATCTTACAGGTACTCTACATTTTATATTCTCCATATATTAGGAGAACAAAAAAGTACTGTTATATTGTTTCTGATCTTTGTTTAAAACACAGAATATCCAGTATTTTCTTACATTTGTATATTGGTGTTAGAGAAAGGATGGCCAAAGCTGTAAGGACCATGGATTGAAAAACCACCCAGAGAGAAAGAAATACTCCAAAAGCAACTAGAAAAGGCCAGATTGCGATTTGAAAATACTGTGACAAAAAAGCTTGATTTTAGCTAAATTTGTTGTGTGCAAATTGTACGACATCTGTTTACTACTTAATTGATTCCGGACTGCAAAAATAGGAAACTTAGTCATTGTGCGCCAGATCAGCGCTTGACATCAATCTGTGCTAAACAAATCTGAGAAAAGAGGAATTGTTTGACGCACCACTCACAGGCATCAAACAGGAATCTTAGAGCCCATCACCGCTCCTCTAGCTCACCATTAATTTGAGCAGGTAAATAAGATGAATGGGTATTTTTATTCTTAAAATAAGATAATTAGATAATGTGCAAATAAAATATTTCTTATTTAGAATGTAAATTTTCTTGTTTCATTGGCAAATAGTCTCACTTACCTCCTCAATTCAAGAAAAATATTATTTTAAGAAAAAAATTACTTTTTCAGATGCCGATTTTTTTCCTGTGCATCTTTACAGACAAACTTTTCATGCAGAAACATCTTTAGCTCCATGTAGCGGCAGCTTTGGGGCTGTAGCTANTTTCATGCAGAAACATCTTTAGCTCCATGTAGCGGCAGCTTTGGGGCTGT